TGGATGAGTTCGAGTTCACGGACATGACCAGGTTGATGAGTTGCGCCGACTTGCGGGAAGCTCCCGATAAGCGCAGGGACTGTTTAATCTTTCTGCACACTCTTTCTGTGGCGATACGGAAACTACACGGTACTGGGTAGTTAAAACATTGTCTCTGTGGTCGGATGCCGACCCGAGTTCACCAAGCATTATTAACCAGGAACATCTGTACCTAGGACAGAGTTTACACCCACTTCTCAGACCACACGATGCAGACATGGACCAAACAGCAACGTCCCGTTCTTGGCTAAGGAAAAAGAACAGTTTGGAGTTTCGGCATAAAGTAGGCGGATACGCGGCAGGCTTTAAGGCGGCGGCGGCAATAAAAAAAACACTGGCGGTAAAAGACGAGGCTGGGAAGTTCATTTGCTACAGCAACACAATACTGAAGCATCAGGCAGATTCAGTTTGTTCATTTGCCTACTTGCGAACCGTAACCTGAGACTGGCTGTACGACGAACAATTGGTAACGATGCGATGTAATGAACTAGGAATGGAAATCGGAAGCTTCCTGTCAACAAATTATCGAAGACGACCAGGCCAAGCTGGCGCTTTGGCCTGATTAGGCTAGGTCGATTTTTCGATCAGCTGGGGGAAAAGAACACACACCTCCCCCCTCCTTCTGTCTCTTTTCCTCTCTCTCCTCTCAGTCCCTGATGCCAATGGAACCTCCAAAATCCGTCAGTCCAAGGACAACCCCCGTCCACCGCCATGGGGTCCAGTCCGTCTCATTGGTTTGTTCAGCCAATGTCTTGCAGCTGATTCGCCCACTCCCGCCTCCAAGTGACCTTCGCCCCGGTCTTGTTTCCTTTCCGGCTTGTCCAGTTCCAAAAGGCGTTCCTTGTCAGTCACTCAGTGTATCCGTATGGACTCTTTGGAGTGCTGAGATGTAAGACAATGATGGATTACAGATACTTATCGCCATTATCAATATCATCATCATCGTAAGCCCCCTTTTGCCTTTTCCAATCTCCGTATCAGACTTGCATCCTCGCGTATAAACTTTGGCAGTCATCAAAATAACCCGAAGCATGCTAAATTAGACAAGTGTCAGTTCGCAGTCGATGCTGACAAGGACCGGGCCACCGCTTAGTAAAGACACTTGCGCTCTCTTAGACTCTTCCTACCTGTACGGATACTCTGGACTCTGGAGGTATGTACATGGAGTGGGCAGCACACTGGAAACTCCGACAGGCTAGGGAACCCAAACGCCCGGGTGTCCCTTTCGCCCAGGTCTAAATCTTGCTTCCTTCGGGGTTCCGTACCGCTGGAATGGCAGAGCCCATCTACGCATCGCCAGACGGAAGGGCGGAGAGAGGAAGCCGGAATAGGCTGTTGGGATGTTGTTAGCCGCACTCGGTCCAAGACCCCAAGGCGACTACAGCTGCTCCTATCGCCCGGCCTGGCCTTTTGCTGCTCTCTTATCCTCTTACCCCGTCCAATCGCACCAAACGTCCTTTCCATGGGCTCTTAGTATCTATGCAATAAACCCGGGCAGCTGCCGCCTTCGTAGACTGGCAGGTTGGTAGGTAGGTATTCGTCTCCGTAACTAACTACCACTTGCATCTTAGCTGCCACTTTCGGGTGCTTTACTCCAACGCCACCACCCAACCCAAAATCGACAGAACGACGCATCATCGCCATTATCGACACATTCGCTTCGAGCAGCGCCTGTCTTGCCCTTCTCTCTCTTGCATTTGATTTGTCTACGACCCCGTGTGTTTTGTCTCATCCCTTCCCCCTCCCTCTCTCCCACCGTCCCATCAGCCCGCTCTCCCGACTCCCGAACAGGTGGTGAGGGACTAAAAGAACAGGCCCAACTCTGAAAAATTGGTAGACGATCTGAGCGAGCGGCACTGCTATCCGCATAGAACGGCCACCAGGTTCACAGCACCCACCATCCCCGTTTGACACAAAGAACCGGCCCTATCTCTTCCCGCGTTTCGTCCATACTCTCCGGTCTCCTGGGACACCTGTCTCTGGCCCTCAGTATCCCCGGGACCTTTTCAACCACTGGCTCAACCACTGAAGGAGGGGGGGCTATAGTACCCTTCGGCTTATATCGAACAGCATCCCGGTCGACTGTCCCAACTCTCCTTGGGGCCCTGGATTAGACTCCTTCTCCAGGCCCTGGGAAAGTTTGTCTTCGGCCGGCGAACCAAAACGTGCCAAACCACGCCCGCCGGTCTTACTACACCAGACCAGGCACCGGGCCGCCGTGGCACCGCGGCTACTTGGCTTGTGTTGCCCACGCGCTGTCCATGTCTTTGATGGCTGAATCGCCGCCAGGTGTCACGCAATCTGCCATCATGCTGCATGCGATCCGCCGCTGCAAATCAGGTGGTACCTGGCGGGGATAGCCACTGAGAAGCCGCCGAACACCTGCCATTAACACAAGAAAACACACGATGGTATCGGCCATCCCCTTTCAGCTGACACGACCTGTTTCCGTATGACCGCGGTCACCAACACTCGAGACATTTTTTTCCCTGAGGTGTGCGCAATCATAGTCGGGTCGCCGTGCCTGACTTAGTTCGGGCTCTGCTGGTGATGAGTGGGCTTTTGCGTGTCAAACAGACCCATCAACTATGCCAGCTGGAGGCCTTTCGTTGGCTTCTATTCCGTGTTCCACCACTCTCCCAGACTCCTCTCCAGCGGCATCCACGTTTCGCAGAGCCCAACTGGAGTTGCCCGGCTCTTATTCGCCAAACGACATCTATAATGTTGGGCTCCGTGTCGCTGCGACCAAAGCCCGCCTCTGGAGGGCTATTCAGACAAGCACAGGCCACAATGATCGATATTCCTTAGTAACAGTGTTAGCACACCGCATCTCCAGACTCCAAGGCCGCTTCCCCGACAATGCCCAGCCCAGGGCCCCAGAAGATGTCGAAAACCTTCTTTCGAAAGTTCCAAGCGAACTCCAAAAAGAGCCACCAGGGCCCTCCTTTCCTTCTCCTGCAGGCCCCGTGTGGGGGAATATAGCTGTGCCTGCAAGGGCAGACGGCCGCGGCCTAGCTGTTATCTCGTGCTTGTCTGGCTGCAGAGGGGCCCGCATACGGGCGATACTTTCCGCGCCAGATAACGGAGGAGGGGATTTCGTAAGGGTGCCGTGCAGGCGCGCAAAACAAAATGCTCCGGCAAAGCTCCATGCTGCGAATGATTACCACGGCCACGGAGAAGACGCCGGAGTAATATGCAGCTGTTCTGCCCTTCTCCTTTCTTTGGGACCCTCCGTAGGCCGCATCTTCCGAGGCCCCGCAAACTTCGGCCCCCAGAGTGTCCAGTGGTCCACGTCCCAGAGTCAGACATTTCGGGATCCTGTCATATCTCCCCCTACAGAGCGTTGGCACACGTAGACAATGTCCAGCGGAGGTTATCCGTTGCAGTCTGTGAACCTGGCTCTCCAATTCCCAGACACACTCATGAAGTCGAATTCGGCAGCGGAACGAACACCATGGCAAGGGTAAGCCCGTCGGCGGGAGCGTCCTCCCACCTTCGCACTGGGCAGACTGCGATCCCCATCTTTTCGGTATCAGGTTTCTGGAAATCCCGGGCACGCAAAGTGTGAGCCTGTTCGTTATCGGAATCCGCGTCCCTCGGAATCTCTGCAACTTTTGCTTCCCACTGTCAGATCGGTTCGTGGGGCGGCGGCGTTCGGAGGGGCCGCTTGACGGCTCGCGCGGACGAGATATACACCCCCAGGCACCTTCCGGGAGAGAAGAGTAAGGGGGCGTGGATATAGCAGAAAACGTGTCGTCGGCTGAGTGTGTGCAAGCGGGGCGGGGCAATCGGCCGGCCTTTCCTTTGCCTTTCCCTTCTTCCCTTCCCCAGCTCTTCGGGGTCGCGTGTGTTTCTGCCTGAAGACTTAGGCGCCACTTCTCTATTGGAAGGTGGCCCCGTCACTTCGGGTGAGAGCTTCATTCGCGCATCCAGGACCGTGGTACCTATCGAACCCCCTCCGCCATAGCTCTCTGCCCTCCACGTACAGCAATTCCAATTCACTCAGAGCTCTCACAATGGCGTCCAAGCGAGATATGCGTCGGCCGGACCTAAGTATGTTTTGCACCACTCCTATCCTGTCGCGAAGTGCTGCTAACCTTTGTCTTCCGCGCAGTCGTCCCCTATCAGGAGCCCAAGGCCAAGGGCGACTCCACCGAGCTCTCCTCGACGCTGTCTTCCACCCTGCCAATGGCTGCGATGCTTACGCGCAACAAGTTTATCGGATGGTATGGCGCATTTCTCATTCAACCTCGGCGAGATGGATAGCATTGCTGGCACTGCACCGAACTGTGGCGGCCAAGCAACTACAGCACGGGGGCCTACATGAGCTTTGGTCGAAGATCAGACTTGCTGACAGGCTATGAAATAGGGCTTCCGTCGTCTTCAGCATTCAGACTTGGCTTGGTGAGAGCGAGGAGACGAAGAAGAGCTCCGCGACGCCGGGATACTTCTCCGTGGGCATGTCGGGTATGTCACTTCTCTCTGCCCGAAGTCGCATTTCCAGAAGCTTGTTCGCTGACGATGTATGACAGTCATGGCTCTCGCCGTCAGCTACCTGCCCCTCTTCCTCCCTCCCCCCGCCCAACGAGGCGCCGCGACTGGCACCGGTCCCGCTGCCCCCGTTCCTCCTGCGTAAATACAGTTACCCATATGACGAGGGATGGGATCGACGGTGGTGTAGGTCGGTATCTGGCATCATGAGCCGTTGCCAGTATGAGACGAGGCACAGGCAGTGTCTACCTAAGAAGAGGCATATTGACGAGTCGATGATGGCGTCAGGGGGGATCAAGCGTGGTGGAAAATTGTAGTATAATACCTCTTTTGGAGACAAAACGTAAAAGCGGGCGCGAGAGGAACGTCACGCGGTTGATACTCTAAAATCTTAATAGCATCAAGTTCGACTATGACTTTTCGCAAACACCATGCAGGAAATCGTTCTGGGAGTTTGGAAACTAAGACTGAATGCTGTCGCGTTGTGCAATTATCGATGCAAGGGGGTACTTTCTGATGTCGTCATATGCAGCTGGCCAATAACCGGCTTTCATTCCGACTGCCACTCCTGCGACTTTCAACATGTCGATTCGCCTACGGAGGTACATACAACCACTCTCATTGATATCCTGATAATACTTCACTCCATTCTGAAATTTGGCATACCTCTCCTACTTGTAACTTCCAGATCACTTTTGAGTCTGGAAATAATAGAGCAGTGAGAAGCGCAATGGCCTCGCCGATCACAGAGGCCTCGGTCCTCGCCGCCTTTGACGAAAAGGTTCGGAACGGGATTGTGATGTACGCCGAAGACATGGAGAAGATTTATCATGAGGACGGGGGCTTCGAGGTAATTGTTTTTCTTTCTTTACCGGATTGTCATCCTTGTGGTTTGGCGCGAATAATGAGCGTATTCGTACGTTTCCATCTTGCTTCTTACTTGACGAGATGGATGAGACAGACGGTGATAAGCGCAGAGAAGGATAATGAAAGACTTCAGAGGCAAGAGACCATAGGTATCACAGAGACTGACAATCCTGCCCTAGTTTGAGTTCCGCTTAACGGCCGCGTTGAAGAGCAAGCCGGCCGCGGTAGAAGACAACGCAGAGTTAGACGACGCAGACGATGGAAAGGGTTCGTCGTCTCAAACACCCGCCAGCGCAGCCTCACACGCCAACACTCATACCCAAGACGATGACAAACACAAGAACAACAAGATCACCCTCGATGAAGAAGGGAACCTCCCCGGAGGCGATATCAGCATCGCGGGCTTCGAACTCACGACCATCGGCGGTGGCGGGGATGAAGAGGCTACGCATGTTCTTGCCTTTAACAAGTTCTGCGCGTACAGGCCGCATTTGCTACTCTTGACTGCTGATGGGAGGAGGAGGCAGTTTGAGGGGTTGGGTGAGCGGGATCTAGGGGCTGCTCTTCAGGTTTTGGGGGGGTTGAATGGGCGGTGGGGTGCTGATGCTGATGGTGAGGAGCAGAAAGGACGAGAGTATCTGGTCATCTTCAATTGTGGCAAGGAGGGCGGGTGCAGTCGGTTGCATAAGCATATGCAGGTTATCCCTGCGCCGGTAGCGATTCCCATGTGGCCTGACCTCGTTGCCTCCGGGTCCGGGACAGGGACGGAAGCGGTCGGCGATGGGAAGCAGGAGCCGCCGTTCCGGTACTTCATCCACCGCTTCACCGGCCCATCACCACCCTCGACAAAGGACCTCACGGCGAAATACAGAGACATGCTCCGCCAGGCGACGGAGCTGATTCCCGGCCGGGAGAAGGTCGTCGAGGAGGACGGGGAAGGGAGGGCCGTGGCGGTGCCGCATAATGTTATTCTCGGACGGCGGTGGATCGTTGTGGTTCCTAGGGTGAAGGCTGGCGTTGACGGGGCGGATGTGAATGCTGTTGGTATGCTTGGTGTCGTGTGGGCTTCGAGGCCCGAGACGGTGGGGAAATGGAGGGAGTTGGGGGCGAGGAGGGTGCTTGAGGAGGTTGGCGTTGGGAGGTGAAGTGATGAACTTGTGATTTGGTGGGTTGGGAGGTTCGACATATGGACTTCAGAGACTGTGGGTTGTGTTGGAGTGATGTGGTATAGACAGATTGGTATAGATGTAGACGTGGATTAGCATGGAGCAGATCATGGAAGTCAGCAACATACAGCTGACAACGAGACCCATTGCATCAAGATCTTTCATCCATTTCGTTTTCGAGCCAACCACTTTCCTGCAGACCTTGGTTCTTGCTGGATTTGGAAAGATATCATGTTGGTCTATACCGGCCCAAAGCCATCACTCTCATTTTTTGTCTACATGCCGGGTTTTGCTAAATACAGACTTGCTATTGAACGAGACCGAGCAAGGGAGACGTTATGAGTTCGTAGGTAATCTCAGCATAACAACTGCAAGTGGCTAGTAAAGCCATTTGTGTCTCCCGCCAAACAGGAATTTACCACGAAGGGCGAACTTGCTTGGCAACTTCACCCTGACTCCTATGCAACTTCAGCCAGGCACTTCCAAATTTCCTGATCAGTAAGCTATTATATACATTATGTACGTCATCATCCTGCGCAAGTCCACGAGAGCAGCGCTGTCACTGCCACACGTGTCTTCCTCGTCCAACCCCTCCCGGGAAGTACCCACCTCAATAATCATTCGCAGTAGACCCATACAAATGCTCCCCCGTCTCAAGAACTTCAACTTCATCGCCGACATGGACATACAGCCCCTTCCCCTGCCTCCTAGCCTCGTCCAGATCATCGTCCTCCGGCACGCAGTGCATCCCGAGGTACCCCAACGCCTTGGGATTCCCCGTCTCAGGGGTGCGATGCTCAATCAGCGTCGTACTGGGCTGCGGCTTCCCCTTCTTCTTCTCAGCTGACGAAGGGTTCTCAGTGTCAAAGGTTGCTGTAGCGAGATTGACGTTTGGCATTGTACAGCGGGACGTCCTGCAGACGACAGAGAGCTTTGGTGAGACGTCCGCCCGCGGCTTTCTGTTATTTGAGAGGTTTCCCTTGGGGATGATACGGTATCGTTTCCACGTCTCTTCCACGTACGCCGGCGCTCCCGTGACCCACAAATTCGCGCGGAAGCGGAGGGCGTCGAGCGGTCTGTTCTCCGGCGGCAGCAGCGCGGACACAGCGTGGACGGAGGATAGGCTGTTGAGGTTGACGGGCTGCTGGTCCGTATACCCGTGGACAGCGGGCGAGCCGATGTAGCTCACGGGCGCGAGGTTGAGGGTCGTCCGCGTCAAGGTCTCGGGCGTGCAGCGCGTGAGCGTCAGGCCGCGGTTCGGCGGGATGGCGAGGAATTTCTTTAGTTTCGGGAGGAGAGTCGTGGCGACGGAGGGAATACGGGACATGTCTAGCCCAGAGGCATCGCGGGCGTGGATGCCAAAGGTTTTGAGGCCAATGTTGAATTCGTCTACGAGAGTTGAGGGGGGGTTCAGGGGCACGATGAAGGAGATTTGAGGTGTTGTGGAGGGGTTGAAGGGGTTGGAGAGGAAGGTCTCGATGCGTTGGGTCCAGGTTGGGGGGTCTGGGTCTGAGAAGGTTACGAGGACGCAGCCGCCGGCTTGGACTAGGGGGTCTCGATGGTCGCTGTTCTGCCGAGGGAGGTAGATTTCTGTATGGATGTGGCACATGTTTGGCTTCGTGCGCTGGCTGATGAGTTTCCAGGAGACGGCGCCCGTTTCCGGGTCGGGCGTCTCGGCTGCGAGGGCGAAGCATCGGTCGTAGGCGAAGCCTGTTTTTGTGAGGAGGGCTCTGTCTACTTCGATGAAGCCGCATGATTTGATCGGGTGGATGTAGATTGACTTGATGCGGATCGGCCCCTGGTTGCCCGATGGTGTGTCTTCTGGGAAGGCATATTTGGAGTCGAATTGGTCTGCCATGTGGCTCTTATTGGCCGGGACACCTATGGACTCCAGGTTCCGGAGCTTCCTGCGCGTGGATGCTGCGTCGCCATTGTGGAGGATGAAGGCTAGGGTGAGGGTGACGGGGAGGAGGAGGGCGATGAGAGCGTGGACGATGGTCGAGGCCCGGAGGTGTTGGAGAGAGCCCACGATCTGGAGGAGCATCGTCTCGAGTTTCCTTCCCTGGTGTGACCCTGGCGGGAGATTCGTGTGGGTTGACGGCTTGTCTTCTAAAGGCAAGATCTAGCGTTCATTCCGAGTCTCGGAGTCATTTGGAGGTGGGAGATGTGACGTTTAAACTGCCTTTCGGGCCGCCCCACTTGTGGGGTCCCCTGTTTTCCCGCGATTGCGACACCGGTCGTTGAGCCGGAGCCGATGCCGACGCCGGTCCCACATAGGCGTAAGTTACCTTTTTGAGAAGACGTGGGAGAGGAAGACGACAGGTCATTGGCTGGTGCCCGTATTCTTTTGTCAAGGAAGCAAATAAGTGGCCGGGTTGAAGACGCTGTTCTTGAAATTTTAAATTTTTTCTCTTTCCCGTAGAGGTCTAGCCCGCTTTCTTCTTGGATGTCAGTTGCAGGGCGCGCTTTGCGTGGAGTGCATATGTAGAAATATGTAGGATGACCCATGCAATTTTCCCTATGGAGTCTAAATGACTTTAGCTGCGTTGGTTTTCGAAGGTCAAGACCTCGATTACACTTACCTTTAGGGGAGTGGAAGAGATTGTCGCCATTGTTGCTTGAGTCACTCATCGCTCTGCTGCGAAGACTATTTATTTCGCTGCAGCTCCCCAAGCTTATAAACGATGTTTGCTCGGTTTTTCTCCAAGTCATCAGTTTTCTCACGCGATTTGCCAAGTTGAAGATGTCTCAATCATTGAGATCCTCTGAGCAGAGCCAGGCCACGCCTGAGGGAATCCAAGACATGGCCCCGAACCACACCACCAACCAGGCCGAAATCCGAGACTCGAAGCCAGAACCGCAGTACAACACAAGCATCGACGAGACCATGCCGAACCCGGAAGATGAATACCCCGAAGGAGGTCTGCGCGCTTGGTCTGTCGTGCTAGGCTCCTGGTTCGCATCCTTCTCGGCCCTGGGCATCTCGAATAGCGTGGCAACCATCCACGCCTACATCAGCTCTCACCAGCTACAAGGTTACAGCGAAGGCACCATCGGCTGGATTTTCTCCATGTATATGTTCCTCTGCTTCTTCTGCGGGATCTATATCGGCCCCGTCTTTGACAAGTATGGCCCGAAATGGTTGATCCTGTCCGGCACGGTCTGTGTTGTGACGGCTCAGATGTTATTGAGCATATCTACACGTTCGTATACTCTCCTTTGTGACCTGCGGAATCTGAAAGATGCAGTCAGCTGACAATGAACTTTGATCAGAGTTCTGGCACTTCATGCTCGTCTTCGGAGTCCTCAACGGCGTCGGCGCCTCCCTCCTATTCACACCATCTTTTGCCGCCGTCGGTCACTGGTTCTATCACCGCAGAGGACTCGCCACCGGCATTGCTTCCACCGGAGGTTGTTTCGGAGGCATCGTATACCCCATGATGCTCCGCGCCCTCTTCGAACGAGCTGGCTGGGCATGGGCGATCCGGACCGTCGGGTTCATCGTACTCGTCTTCTGTGGGGCCGCAACCTTGCTCATCGACAGACGGCTGCCACCAAACCCTGACGCCTCGGTTCATCCCAACATACGTATACTCCGAGATTCGGCATTCGCGTTGACCACGCTCGGTATCTTTCTCCTTGAGTGGTCACTTTTCATTCCTCTCACGTACATATCGAGCTATGCCATTCATAAGGGCTTCGATATCGACTTTGCGTATCAGATTCCTACGATCCTGAATGCTGGAAGTGTAGCTGGGAGAATTCTGGCAGGCTGGTTCGGTGACTTTGCCGGACCTTTCAACTCCAACATCCTGGCTCTCGTGCTGAGCATCGTCGCTTGCTTGGCCGTGTGGCTACCGGCAGGCTCTTCTATGGCGGGCATCGTCGTCTTTGTGGTACTGTTTGGATTCGCTAGCGGGAACAACATCAGTATCAGCCCGGTCTGTATCGGTAAACTCTGTAAGACAGAGAGCTATGGGCGGTACTATGCGACAGCTTACACAGCGGCCTCCTTCGCCTGTCTTTTCGATGTGCCTGTGGCTGGGGAAATCATTTCTGCGCAAAACGGGGAATATCGGGGGTTGATCTTGTTCACTGGCCTCATCTATGCCCTTTCTCTTGTGGCTTTGATGGGGGCCAAGGTGGCTCGTGTTGGATGGAGACCTTTTGCAATCTTGTAAACAACGAGTGCCACCGGACGGTTCCTTGTTCGGTAATCGTGCGCTACGATTTGTGCCACAACAGTCTCTTTTCTTTTGCTAAATATAAATCAAATACAAATATCAAAATAGACTCATAGTTCGTCTCGGAGGTGTGTAGAAAGAGTTGCATTACATGAATAGTCATTCGAAGAATAGGTACAGTCTATTGCCGTTGTACAACCTTGAATATCTACAGAAGAAAGTAAAGCCAGTGAGGTATTCCAAGTACCTTGTTTGTCGAGCTCATTAATAGTGATGCACTTTGGCTGGCTGGGATAAGGAGGAGTAAGAGAGATCAACAGACCCAAAGCTACATGTAAGGTGGTAGTAGGTGGCGCGGCTCCCACATCATCTACCGGTGTCCCACCGCATGGAGCTTTAACCGTGCCGCCTTTCAAGCCCGTGAGCATGTTGCAGTATACTCAGACATAGATGGCGCAGCTGATGGGACCACGAACATCCATGAGATCCGCAATGGTAACGTTGGGCAGCAGGCCAGAAGTCCAAAGGTTGTGAGCCATGGTGGTCACGTTGCCGCCGTTCTCCCCGTTGTAGTCAAGGAGGTCAGCACCGGGATAATCGAGGTTGGACATCGTGAGGAAGGCGTCTGAAGCCACTACGGGTCCACCAATCTCGTTGAGGCGAGCGGTGAGGTTGACGGACTGCCACTCCCACCACAATCGGTCGAGGTTGGTGTGGTGAAGGAAGAACAAGGGGTCACCAGGACTGGAAACAACGTCTAACATCTGTTCATTGCAAAAGTCAGTCAAGATACGTCAGTGTAAGGGAAGATATGATTGTGACATACAGTGCCGCCAACGCCCATATAGCCGGCAAGATGAGGTGCCGTGCCCCAACAGTTCCACGAGTCGACGTAGGTATCGATGGCCATGCATTCGTTGACGTAGGTGCTGTTGGCCTGGTAGAAGCTGTCCTGGTCGAGATCGCGGGTCAAGCAGAAGTTTGCATCGCTGCTGGTCTGGTTCAAATGCATCGTCAGGTTCACAAACGGCCCATCGGCAACGCAGCCATTGTCGCCGTTCTTGAAGCTTCCGAATCCGGTTTCGGCATCGAAGACGGTGGACTGGTTCAAGAAATCGGCCTCCGCATCCTCCAACTCGTTCCAGTAGGGCTGGCCTCCCTCGTAGCCGCACTCGGTCTGGAGATAGACTTCGTGGACACGCACTGCGATGTTCCTTCGTTATTGTTTGTCCTCAACCATGGTGACGAAATGAGACTTACTGTACAGTCTGTGCCAGGGAAGGAAAGGACCGTCATTGTGGATGACATTGGCCTGGTAGATGTGGGCATACATCATGTCATCCCAAAGGTTCTGCGAGCCGGCGACACCTAGCTTGGGGGCCTTGTTCATCAAGCAGAGCTCGGCGTCGATGTAAGCCTTCTTCTCGGTGGTTGTCATGGCAGTCCTGGATTAAGACCTTGATTAGAGAGGGAAGCTGATAAGCCCAAATCTGATTCAACATACCAAGACTTTCTTTGGTGCAACGAGGTGCACTCTGGGAATTCCTTGACAGCTGCTCTCGTGGCGCTCGAGTTCGAAGAAGGCAGCGAGCTTGCCACGGCCGTGGCCGCCGCACAGCCATAAACCAGAAACTTCAAAGTGGAGGACATTTTGGCTTCTCCTGCAAGACAAGTGATGCGCTTAAAGAGTGAAGAGATAATGAGCCGAGGTAGCATATTTACAGGAGGAAAATCAGCATTTTATATCTCAAAGTTTATCGTAGTCAAGACTGGCAGTCCAATGATCTACCTTGCCTCTCCCCCCCTTTTCTGATTCCTCGGTGTTTTCTGACCTGAACTTCATCCTCAATTTTCATTTTTCTGACTCAAGAGCCGGCTAAGAATTTAGGAGAGGCCTTTCCGACCGATATCACCGAGTGTAATCTCGAACTTACTGGTGTGTGAGGGAGTTGCTTTCTAGAGGTCACAGAGGATCTCAGGTCCGCTCCGTTGCACGCCACATGACGAAAAGCCGAGCTAGAGGTACTCACCAAACGGTCGGCACTTTTGTTGTCCAATACAAATGCATGAAGAAGGGCCTCGGTAAGTGCAATGATGGAGAAAGGAACGTTGACCAAATCGAGCTTGTAGTTCCGGTATGCATACCGATCTTTACCGTTGTTTTGGCCCACTAATTGTGGCAACCGAGGGGTTTGGCTTGTTGAATCAAGCTTTTTCTGGTAACTCTTGAGTAAATGCGGCCCGCGATGGGGCCCCTTATCAATCTCCGTGAGTTCTCCCATCGGACCCGAGCGGCTCTTCGTCGACAGTCAAAATGCAGCCTTTCTGAAGATTTCCGTCTTCCAGCTTGACAGCCCTGAAAGTTTAGGAGACTGATGTTTGAGCCAATTCTTCAGGCGTTGAGTTCTTCCGTACGGACATTTCCAACTGTATATATGAAAAGAGTAGAGCATGGACGCTTTAACCAAGGGACCGAGGATCTACGTTGATCTAGGAACTGCACCTAAACGTTCTCCAGACCGCGGCAGAATCACATTGTCAAGAGAGAATCCAATTTAGACTAGTGGATGGTAACGGAATCTCCGCTGTCGAAACTTGGATTTATCCTCTCTTCAATTATGCCAGGTCTAAGGGGGAGTCTCCGGAACTAAATGAATCGCCACATACAACGCCCCCACTCGACGGCACTCCACTCCGCGCAAGTCACGATAACGGCGGGAACGACAAGCAGACTAAGTAAGTGAGCCGAGGATACCTGGCTTGATGTTTCCTTCGTGGATACCACATTCATATCCAGTCCCTGGTCTATGAAGATTAGATGCTTGAGAAACGGACAGAGCAATGGCCCCTTGTCAAATACTCAAAGCTTAATTTACCGTGAGAGTTCTCTAAAGTGGCAGGATTCTGAGCGTCTCGAGTTGAAGAATTCGTCTATCATAAAGTATTTTCTGCATAGTATACTTGGTCAAGTGGTTGATTTTGCGTTGAATTAAGCTCTTCATCATGTAGCTGGAGTCCCAATAACAAGGTGCTTCGATAATGAGCCCCTTTTTTTCGAGATACTTGACTCAATAAGGGGTTTCTTTCATGTAGGAAGCTGCAAAGTGTGACATCTCTCTGCTTTCGCAACTGCGTCTGCCAAGAATGTGGTATCTTTTTGATTGGTCTAAAGATGTTGGCCGCGCGTGATCAGGCTACAGCTTGACAAGTCAGCATGAGCCCTCTTCAGTGTCAGCCTGTGCCTCCTTTTGTGCGGCTAAATCATCCCCTCACTCATTCATCCATCTTGGTCCCACTTCTCTCCCATCGCTTATCCAGAATTCCACACTCTCCATCTAAGGTGACGCTAGTTCTCAGTTGTTGGCGTTGATGTTGTAAGGATGAGGCGCTTCTTCCGAAGAGACCGACGCAAAGACCGCGACAAAACCGAAGACCGGCCCCGTGAAGCCCCGCAAACGGAAAGCCCCACAAACCCGACCTCCGTGTCTCAACCGACTGCGTCGACGAACAAGCGACCCGGGGTTTCCCTCGCGGCAGTTGCATCAAATTCAGGCTCATATGCAGGTCATCCGATAGGCCTAAAAACCCTACACGATCCGGCTGAGGGAGAGGCCGTGCTTGAGTAAGCGCCGCTCGCTAGTAATCTTGCACTGTTCCTGGTCCCTGCTGACAACTATGTGAACAGCATCATCTTCATCCACGGGCTCAAAGGCCACCGCGAAAAGACTTGGACAGCCGAAAACGCCCCTGAGCCTTGGCCCAAGACTCTACTCAAGGAAGAGATATCGAATGCTCGGGTTCTGGTATATGGCTACGACGCGAATGTGGCCAGAGCCACCCATATTGTTTCAGCCAGTCGCATCCGAGACCATGCGGCGGATTTATTGTTGAGAATCAGAAATTTTCGACATAGAACAGGCGGTGTAGGCTGTTCTTCTTTCTGTGGCTTGGAGTCCTTCTAATGCTGACAACTTGATAGGCTGCACGACCTATCATATTTGTCTGTCATAGTTTAGGTGGACTAGTCTGCCAAGCAGTACGTGCCATGCGCTAACTTAATGATTACCATGGCGGATATTTGGTTGAAGCCGATAGACGGTGCTGTGATGCTGACGCCATTCTCTCGATAGGCTCTCTCCCGCGCCCATAAACGAGAGGAGTTAGAAGAAGTCCTCGAAGCGACTCGGGGCATACTCTTTCTCGGTACACCGCATCACGGCTCAGACCTAGCTTCATGGGCAGAACAACTTGCCAGGTGTGTCGGAATTTTCAAACAAACAAACACCGCAATCCTTAGTGTTCTGAGACCAGAGTCGGAAGTACTCGCTGAGATCCAAGACGATTTTCACAACATTCTACAGTCAAAAACCACAGCGGGATTCTGCACCATCCATATTACCTGTTTTTTCGAAACCTTATCACTGCCAGGAATCGGATTCGTGCGTTGACCCCGCTGACCGTAAATCCCAGAATGATATTGACAGCCTTCTTAGGTCGTTCCCCAGCACTCAGCTACCATGTCGGGCAAAACTGCTTTTGGGATCGACGGAAACCACCATACAATGGCGAAGTTCAGTAGTCGCCAGGATTCTGGGTTCATTGATATCTGCGATCAAATCCGAATCTGTATAGAGAATTTCGATCGAAAAGCTCTTGTGGTTCCGAAGCAGCCAATCGCGTGGCCTCGGGCATCGCTAGAATTGATGGATCCAGTACCAAGAATGCCAACAGTTACGAAGGAGAAAACCAAAGCCAAATGTACGTAGGTAGCTGGAAGTGATCCAAAGATCAGTCTATACTGATGAACTAAATAGTTCTTGTGCCATATGCGAAAAACAAGGACTTTGTTGGACGAACGGACATCTTTGAACGTCTAAAAAGCCAGTTCTGTCACGGTTTCGGGGACGACGTTGAAAATGCTAGATTTCGCGTTTGTCTTCATGGCCTTGGGGGAGTCGGGTATGTCGAATGCAGCCATTCATTGCCAAGGTTATTCTCACTAATAACAGGTAGAAAGACACAGGTCGCAATTGCGTACACCTACTGGTTACGGAAAAGCCGTCCCAATATCTCGATATTCTGGATACATGCAAGTAATGTAGATCGAGTTCGGCAAGGCTTTTCCGAGATTGCGGAAGTATGCGATATTCCAAGGCGCAATGACGACGACATCAACGTGCTAGCGCTTGTGAAGCACTGGCTCGAGCGGCAGACAACAGACCGTTGGTTCTTGGTCATCGACAATGCCGACGATACAAGCCTCTTCTTCGACGAAAATTCCCCAACCGACTATTTCGGATCATCTGGGACTCATGTGGAGAATACCGAAGGCAGCTTGGCCCGTTTCATTCCCAACTACGGCAATGGCTCGATCCTCGTCACGACAAGGAACAAACAAGCTGGTACAAAACTAGTGCCTGGCTACCTTCCCATTGAGGTTGGGCCAATGAACAGGGAAGAGTCATTCCAGATGATCCAGGAAATGACTGGAGCCCCTGATTTGTCAATTGAGGCGGCATTCGCTTTGTCGACACGCCTTGAACACTTGCCCCTCGCCATCGCTCAAGCTGCAGCTTTTATGCTGAATAACTCCATAAATATTGACCAATATCTCCAAATTCTAAACAAAGATAACGAAACTGAAGTTCAGTTACTGAGTAGAGATTTCGAGGCAATTGGCCGAGATGCCACGGTCCCGCGGGCTGTGATGGCCACGTGGGTGGTTTCATTTGAGCATATCAAGGAGAAGAACTTGGTAGCTGCGGAGATCATCTCCCTGATGGCTTTCTTTGATCGCCAGTCAGTCCCAAGGAAGTTCATCACAATTTATACTTCCTTGCAACAGAAGAAACATCAAGTTGAACGTTACGAGATCCCGCGCGGCGTCAATTTGGTCACAGAAGATCGTGACTCTGATGAAGAGGATGGCAATCTCAATGAGGGAAACTGCGACTTCAAGAACAGGTCCATTGGCAAAGACAATCACCAAAGTCGAGAAATGTCGGAGCGAAATGGAACAAACTCACTTCATATTGAGGAAGCCCTTGGGATTCTTAAGGCCTTTTCGTTCATCAAAGAAAGTAAGAACAAAACCTTGGAAGTGCACCGCCTCGTCCAATTGGCAACCTCAGCATGGCTCAGTCGAGAAAAATTGGCGAGTCGATTCATTAGCAAAGCACTTGCAACCATCGCCGAGTTCTTTTTAGGCTCATCCAGAAGCCAAGCTATGTTCTACCAAACTCTTCCTCATTGCCAAGCTGTGCTGGCAGCGAATGCCGAAAACACCGCCGTGAATCATCGCCTGACATTCACGATTAAAATGGGCATGTCAGAAGTGTACCGGTACCTTGGTCAATTTGAGCTCTCACTCAACATGATGCGACGAGCTTTGGATACAGAAGGACTCGACCCACACGACGAGTCCCGCATTAAGACTGTTCAATTCAGTGCGATGACTCTGGAATTTCTTGGCCGCAAAGAAGAAGCACTGCAGACTCTCGCTGATTTGGTTGTGTCACAACCACGGGATAGCGCGACAATGCTTGTCACAGTCAAGCTCCTCACTCAACTATATCTAGACTTAGAGGAGTATAGCAAGGCGAAAGAATTACTGGTCAGCGCTATTGAGAAGCTCGAGGAAAAGAATTCTGCGTCCCTTGGAAACAAAGCATGTTTTAGGGTTCTTTTGGCTGTGGCCTTGACGAAGTTGGGATACACGCAAGAAGCAGAAAAAACGATCAATCAGGCGATGAAGCTGGCGGAAGAGGCCTGCAGACCCACGAGTTCACCCTACGAATCTCGACAAATTATGGAACTAGCAGAGATACTTATCTCTCACAACAAACTGCAAGAGGCAGAGCTAGTCTGTAACCAAGCTCTACTCGGAGCTTTCGACCGCGCCGTGACAACCCTTATCGAAGCTCGATTGATGAGTAAGTTGGCAGATGTCTTGAAAAGACAAGGTCGTATTTCGAGAGCAGTTGAGGTTCAACACCGAACTGTTCTTTGTATCAGGGCATTCAAGGAGCTTGGCGATATGGAAGCCGAACAGACCAGTCAGTTGGCGCTGCTGCAACAAGAGACAGGGGATCTTGAATCAGCGGAATCGAGCATGGCGCGTGCACTTCAATTGTATCGAGACATCTACGGCGACATCGGGGATAACGTACTTGATTGTTTGTGTCACCTCGGAATCATCAAATTCCAGCGGCAAAAGTCTGGAGAAGGACTTAGCATCATTGAGGAGGCCCATCAGCGCAGCCTTCGAGAATTTGGCCCTACAGCTCTGATAACGAAACAATGTGCTGAGGCTGCAGAATCCTGCTCGAATTACGGAATGATTCGGACCCTCCAACGGAGCAAAGTTCCCGTCTTGCGAAGACAGATAACAGACATGCGGACACCTCAAACACCCTCTTAAGGGCTGGCACCACTTACTTTCGTTCGATGCGGGTACTAAAGGGAAGCATCTCTACAGGTCGAATCCAAGAGTCTCTGGGGCATTAGCAAAGCGGTGTTCCTCGTCACACTCGTTTTATTAACAGAAGCATAGGCTAGGCTAGGTGACGTCGCCTTCATCCAGCATAGGCCGCCAGAGAGCCACGATCAAGGAATGGAGTATGACGAATTCTCATAACTCGCGGCCGCAAAGCGCGTAAGTGGCCAATGACTCGATCACATTCCTCACACAAGCCACCAAACATCATCGACAACGGTTCCATTGTGTCCTCTTGGTGAAAACTCACCCGTTAGACCCATCCAGTCGTTCCACCCGCCGTCAACCCGCCCTAGCGAGACATTGTGTAACAAGGAGTCGGGTCCCTTCTCCATCACGACCGCACCGAGACAGAGGGGTCTCGGGCAAGACGGCACAGAAAAGTCGACAGGTTAGCGAAAGGGATGGGCAACTGGGCAGATATTCAACGTGTTAGACTGCGTACGTGTGCCTGTATCGTCTTGATGAAAACCCTTCATCCGGAAGACGTCCGGAAGGGAGGTCGTTCTGTTTCCGTGAGCTCACGGACGATCTGGTGGTATTCAGGCCCCCTCAGGTGAGAACACGTTTGTATACAGCATGAAGAGAAAAGCGCGGAAGATACATCAGTTTCTTCCCGGCGCGTATCAAAAGATCAGCGCAGAACAGGCGGACCCACGGAACGGAGCGGCAGAGCCGCATCGCAGGAGACACACGGGCGACGGAGGGCAAGGGAGAGTCAGCTAGACGCAGTCATCTATCCACTCACCCATTCAGAGAGGGAGACTAGAGAATCATCCAGTGTCTGGCTCGTGCGTGGGCGCAAGTCCTGCAAGAAAGGGGAGAGATGGTGAGGGGTCGTGGCCGAAGAGGGAAGCACGACGGTTTGTGACTTGCATATGCCGCTTCAGCTGAACTCGACGACGACGAGAAGGTTTCTCACCCCTTTCAGCATTGCGCTTTGAGGACAGGGTATGTCCCGGCAGATGTTGCCCGGCAATTGGATCCCGCTGGAGGCCGATGAGGACGAGCGCGACTTACATCAGCGGGATGCTGCATTATCTGCGTTTATCGTGGGCCATTGCAGTCCTGACTGCAGACTAGGTACCAGGGTATCTTTACCGAAGCAAATGCGGCTTGTCTGACAGGTTTAAGAAGAGGGCTAGCGGTTTAAGACCAAGCCCACTTATCAGAGGCCCATCAGCCACGTTTCGAGGGTTCGTCACGATGCATCAAATGCCGGCACGACGTGTCCTGTCACTTGAGCCTGTATCCATGGCTGCGATTCACCCAAGCCTCCTAAGATCAGGTAGATCCTCCTGATCCAGACATGTCCGCCACGCGTCCAGCTTCCTTAGGAGGCCGCGCCCAGCACCGAGCCCCCCGTCAAGTCTGGAAAGTCGAGTTGGCTGGTCTGGGCACCCAGTAAGGGACGGGATAAGGTACCGGTAGTCTGAAGTTGGCGCCGGGCTCAGAGATGGCCAGTGATCCACGAACGACAGTGGCCCCCAAGAGGAAAAGTCGCCAGATCACCACCAAGGATCACGTCGATGAATCGCTGACGGGCACAACGGAGTGGGATTGTGGACTGATGATGACCATGAGGGGGGCTGATGAGAGTCAATGCAAGTGGGATCTCCCAAACCAAAATCCCGGAATCCATGTCAAGGGGGAGGAAGTTTTCCAGTGGCTTTGCCATCAAGACTGACAGGCTGGAAAGCCAAACCACCACAGTGACAGCGAAGCCCCTGGTCCAGCCAGGCACGCCGTCAAGTGCGCCATGTGCGTTGGAGTTGCGACAGCCAGGTTTTACCATGTCGTTGCTGTCTCGGGTTGTCGTTGGAGGGCTGCTACTTCCATTAAGTAAGCAAGTAAGAACCCGTCAGCCAGGCACACTAACAATCACCTCTTGCTCGTGGCGCAAGCCTCCTTGTCGTGCTTACCTTCACCATGGTTCCTCCTTCCTCAAGGACTGATTGATAACGTGACCTGTTAAGCTCCCTCCTTCCCCCTTCTTCCCATCTCTAGCCAATCAATCACCCGGTCCCTCTTTCCCCTTACATACATATGTACATCCCTCGGTCCCGTCCGTGACATGCAGCCCCACCCATCGTCTTTTCCCACCACAGAACGGTGAACCCGCCCATCTGAGTGGTCCCTGGTCATCTGCTGTGGCGCGGCTTAGAATCCGGGCGTGTCGCATGTCCCCTCCAAGTCCATCCTCTCCAGCCAATCACAACCGATAACCTGCAGGGAAAGAGTCAGGGGTTCAGGCACCGAATTGCCGTTCCTTCTCCCATCCAATCGATCCCCGCTGCCATTCCAGAAGGTCTGGAGCCCACACTGCCAATGCCAACGGCTCTGCTTTTTTCCACGTCCATCGTATCTGTCAAGGCATCGTCGCCTCAACTGTCCAATCGAATCGATTCTTCCCCCCTTGCTTTAATCGCACAACCTTATTCCTTGGCCCTGCTCGGGTTTGGCGGCTGGACTCTGGAGACCATCCAGGCAAATCCAGCCTCTGACGATCTGCCCTTCCCCTCCTGGAGTCCTGACGCTGGCCTGGTTGCCCTAGTCTCGGTCTGCTGGCGGCGGCTTCGGCGGTTGTGTTTGTGCAGTCCGCGCTGTGCATTAGGTTATTATTCTCCGAGCGCTGGTCCGCAGCCACACGGCACAGAGTCAGTAACCGTGGGAAAGAAGCACTGTGAGATATGTCGACTCACCAACGTTCGACCACGAGCGTCAACAACACCATCACGAACCATCACGACCACCTTCCAAGACCTCCCGTGAAATGAACCGACCACCACTACCCCAAGAAGCAAATCAAAACCGACTCACCAGAGTGACCACACTCATTAAGCCAACTCTCACCGCAACCGCGCACCGCCGCAATGGGTTTCAACCCTGAAACTCCACCCGCTCATCTCGGTCCTCCATCCCCAAAGAGGTCACCATTCCCCCCTGTCTTCAAGCTCTCGAGGTCGAGCATGCCCTGTCCCTCGAATGCTTAGCATCAATAGTCAAAAGATGTTCCCACTCAAAAAAGGCTTGGGTATGGGTCCAGAGACGCAGCTGGGCCTCGTCTCCGACACCATATTTTGCCCCTCTCTGTCCCAGTCTCCCTCCCTGCCTTTTGGTGCGTACGAGGTCGACAACTGAGGTACTCGCGCCTACCCGGTACCACCACCCCTGTCGAGACGAGTTTCGTCACAGCCCATCATCGTCCGATATCACAAAACCCGTGTCCCTCTTTTTTCTTCCTCGTCTTCTCTCACCATCTCAACTCCTCGTCTCACGATCACCAACCAAGTACACCTCCCATACCTATACCACCAAACAGCCACCAATACTCCGTACCATACAACGAACACACGGCCTCAAGCAAGACGCATCCAACGCACGAACCCGCACACGCACGCCAAGAGATCTGCACGCTCACACACACCTTTTCGGGCTTTCACTCTTAACACACCGACATCCCACACATTCTTCCTACCCAAAGTCTAATCCTTTCCACACACCATCACCTACATCACACCTCAACCGTGTGTTGCTCGTATCCCAGACAGCAGAAGCTGCACCTCGCCTCTCTCTTTTTTACCTATCGAGCGCCCGCCCGCACTCGTGTCTGCTAGTCCAGCTGGTCTGATCCAAAAACCTTGCCTTCGCTATACATATTTTTCTGCCGACGTTCCGGTACATACTTCCCCAACGCCACTCTTTCACCAACCGAGACGACTCGTCGCTAGCTCGACGTCCGTAACAACAACAACTCCACGATCATTCGGAGAGAAGGAGGATTCTGGAAATCAAAGGGAACAAGAAAAACAAGAAAGCAGGATATCAGAAAGAGATTGGAATTGGGGAATCCCGTCAACGAACCCGGTCCGATTCGCGCGAACGCAAAGGCAGCTATCTTGAGCCGCCTTCCTTTTTGTTTAATACGCCCTCTCCTCGAACACCAACAACCGACGACGACAAGATGAAGGTCTCACTCGCGATCCTGACGACGCTGTGCGCGTCACTCGCCACCGCAGGCGTGGTCATCACTCCCGTCCGTCAAAATCAGGTCGTGCCTGCAGCACAAAAGGTCTCGGGCGACTGCTTCTTTGGTGTTGTGACGCCTCAAGGTTGCGCGTAAGTCTTCGTCCTCGACTGGTCTTCACTGGAACCATAACTAACATGATACTACAGTCCTTTGAGAACGTGAGCCTGGCTTTACTATGCAAAGCGTCAAACGTATCATCATGAGCGATGAGAGGAAACGGCGGGAAAGAGACAGGCCGGAGCTCGTCGGGAGCAAGTCAACTACCACGCAACTTATCGCCTCACTGCAGAAGCCAACCTGGGCGGACGTGTGAGCATTCATTGCTCCGACGATTCTGATGAACCGCCTCACTCCCGGCTTCGCCTCTCCTCTCTCTACGGCCAATTTTCACGAAGGAGAGGACCACGACGCCATCGGGCTCGTCGTCTGTACCATTTACGACTTATTACATATGTGACCGGTTCACAACAAAGCATCCATCAGCATCAGCGGTTGTTATTTCAGGCGGATTATTATCTGGGCATTTTCATCAAAACGACGATGACTGACGATATGGGGCGAGTGAGAGATGGAGTGGCAGAGAGACTGGAGGTCGTCGTCAGTGGACCTTACAGCGGAGGATTATGGTCACCCCCAAAACTAATGTTGGCATCCAAGACGTTGCGTCTGCTTGTTTTTGCCTGTCTCGCCGTTGCGCTCGCTTCCCCTACGGACCTCCGCGGGGTGGAAGCGCCGGCAGCCACCGCATCACCAGCGCAGTCTTGGCATCTTCTTCACCAAATTTCTCTTCTTATTCCCCCTCCAATTTTTTACCATATACTAGATCACCCTTTTCCATCTTTACAAAAGAATTTCAAAAATATTGGATATCACCCCCCGTTCCCCCCTTCGTTGATGATGCAACTAACTGCCTGAGACTGTCACTAACCGAAAGCCCCAACCCCCACCAATGAATCTAAGCGAACGCGGATGATACTCACGCCAGACAAGCCATGGCGCCCATCAAACACCAACACCATACCAAGTGGCGCAACGCCTCGCGCAGCGGCTGCTACACTACAACCATCTTTCCCCCCCTCTCACCGCGACAAACGCACGTCGTCCATCCACCCCCGCCAGGTCCCAACGGCATAGACGTTTTAGACTTCCGCGTGCCTGAAATGCAAAAACCCCAAGCTGATACGCGAAACCACCTCAGACTTCAGACGCTCACCTTGTCCAGCAAAACCCGAGACTGATTCCCCCAATCCCCCGTCCGTGCCTCGGTTTCGTCCCGACTTGGCCGTGTTCCAGATCCCCCAATCCGTCACTCTTCCCCCCCTCCTTTGTCTCTCGTTCTGCCCCCAAACTCCACCATGCCAGCGGCAACCGTTGTAACCTTCCACACCTTAATGCCCACGAAATACCTTACCCTACTGTTAAAGTATTGCGGCACTGGGCGGTACCATGCCCTATACGTGAGCCGCAAAAACCTTAATGTCGCAACTCAAAATCCCCCCCAAACTCAACCACGCACTTGTAGACCTTATGACCTATGACATCGTACCCTCGAGCACCCACACAGACGGGCACGGAGAATAAGATACCTTAAGTCGCCCTTTTTCACCGAGAGCTTGGCTTACGTGCTTGCGTAATTGCGTACTACCGCTCTGCGCGCGCGCGTACCTGGCCGTCGACCTGGATACCTGGGCCTGACGCTCTTCCCTCCCCCTCGGTCCCGAGACAAGTCGAGTCTTCGACACCCACACCAACCAACTTTGCCCACGCGTCAGATGCGCAGAAAATAGAAACAGGCCCTCCCGATCGAGGCCTTTCATTCGCTTGTCACACTTCTTTGGGATTCATTTCATCGGCTACCAGATGAGGAAGCAAAGTGTAAATATTGAATTCCGTTTCTTAGGGTATCATGGTTTTCTGTCAGTCTCTCGTCAACGAAACAAACGCCGCCCATGCCATCTGAAATGCCTTCCTCTGTCCGATACTAAACATTTTCTCCAAGGCGTGTGCAATCAAGTGAATCAGTAGCCGCCGCCGCTCAACATCTGAGGGGGTACTTGGGGGCACGATCGGCCTTCATTCCGCCCCAGTGAGTCTCGGGTGCCTCGCTGCCATCTTCACCAATGGCATGCGGCTTCCAGGGCTCGTCAAAGGCCTCGAAGAAGAACACGTTGAAGCCCCAGTTAACCATACCGCAGACACCAGAGTCGTAGAAAGCCTGAGCGTTGTCTTGTCCCGGGATCGCCTGCTGATACTTTGCACCTTCACTGGGCCAACCTAATTTCAGTCGATCTTGTCAGCAATCCATTCACGATGGCCGTGTGCAGTCATTCAGTATGGCGATCAATGCTCAGAATGTATGACATAGGTGATGAACATCACCGAAAAGGCAACCACCAAGATCGGGGTGATGAGTGAAGCAGTTCGACTTACCCGTCTCCCCAACCCACAGCTCAGGCTTGGTGAGCGATCCACTGACGCTCTGGATGCGTCCAAACGCCTGCATGATGGAGTCGAAGAAGCAAGCAGTGGCGTTGTCGCGCGTCTGACCCTGCCAGTAGGAAAAGGCGTTGGTCAGAAGAATGTCGGCTTCCTTGATGACGGCATCGGCCGTGCCGTCTTGGTACTTGTTCCAGCTGTCCGCGGTACCAATCTTGAAGAGCGGGGCCGCCTTCTTCATGTCCTTGATCTTGTCCGCCAGCTCGGTGCCGGTGAAGTTGCCGCGGTACATGGACTCGGATCCGACAGTAATGGCGTAGAGTTGGTCCTCGTAGCCGGGCGTGTGCTTCAGGATTGCGGCCTTGTCGGCGGCGTACGACTCTTCGGTATCGGGCCTGTCCGAGTCAGCGGGAGCACTCTCCCAAATAAGCTTCACTTAATTTGGGGTAAAGTGAAGTATATCGCCGGACAAGGTTGGCCTACCAAATGCCCAGAATCACTTGGAATTTCTCCTTCTTGGCCGCAGGAAGAATGTACTGAGCAGTGTTGCACTGGTCAGCAGCATAGATGCGGACAATGCTGCTTCCCGAAGCATCTCGGATGGCCCTGAAGTCCGCTTCGTAGTCTGCCTGGTACTTGCACTGCCCGCCCGGCTGCTTCGAACCGAGAGCGAAGCCCAGATATCCGGATGCGAGGGCCAGGCCAGGGGCAGAGGCCAGCAAGGCGGCGAGAACTGAGGTGGAGCGCATATTGACGGTCGATATGTTGATGTTTATCCGAAGGGAAAGTATCTGAGGCGGGAAAAGGTGCAGCTGCGACAAAGGTTTCGCAAGAATAAAGGAATAGGAAGAGGGTAGAGACGTGAGTAGGTGGGTGACAAAGGGCGATGCAGGAAAAGAATGGTTTGATCGGTCGGCGAAGAGGATGAAGGTCAGAGGAAAAGAGAGAGCCAGAGATCTACGTGCGTCTACAATCAACTCTCGGCAATGGTGATTCTCGAAAGGCAGGAAGTGAGGGTATTCATCACCAGTTTGGGAAGGAGGCATCCTGCCATGTGCTGCATGTCCAAATTGGGCAAGAACGAGATGCAGGCAGGGTCCAACCTTGACATCCCGCACCTCCCTCACAACTCGGGACGAACCAGCAGCTCCCAAAAATGCACTGATCATTTGTGCTTTCTCAAACTATCATATTTCTGTCAGATCTTGGCAGCTTTGCGATCGTTATTGTTGATCCTGACAATGTTGGGGTTAGCGCACCCCGATCGATACCTACCTTGATCTTGGATATCATTGCTTGGAAATGAGTTGCTTCAAAGGACAGTGCTGTTGCTTTCGTTCTTTCCATGCCGAGACACTTATGGCGAATCCGATTGAAACTGGATCAGAAAGGGATTTGTGCCCTTATTTCATCATTACTTGCTGTCATCTACGGTACCTCTCACACGTGTGTCCAACCATTCCCTACTAACATGAGTCGCAACTACTCGTCAAATCACATCACAGTTTAAGTGAAAAACGCAGGTGTCGTGAGATAATCTAGAAACCCTTGTGGGTTTCAATTGTTCATTAATCAATAACAGAAACTATGTAGTCCCATGGCCAGGGAAAGAGGGTATAAAGCGATCCGCCATGTACAGGAGGCTCGATTCGTCGTCATCTATTCGCCAACGTGGCGACCATCTTGATCCTGCCCCAACTCCCGATTCATGCAGTGATATTCAGCCGTTCAATTATGTATGCGGATTTAAAGGAAGGACATGAAGGCCTGTACGCCGACCAAAGCACCGGCTGCAAGCCAGAGGTTGGTGGACGTTGAACGGCCAGCAGCGTTGCCGGTGCCAGTCGGGTTGCTACCACTGGGGGCAGTGGAGGTAGAGCACTCGCCAGTGAACTTTGCCGCCGCATTCGCGCCCAGGGGAATCTTCTGAAGGTTCGAACCACAGTTGTTGTAGGGGGCAAAGTGGAGGGCGGGTGTCTCCTGGTCGAAAACAACATAAGTCGAACGGAGGAACGAGTCACCAAGCAGGTACGAGCCGTCGGTTGCCTTATCAGCTCCGAGGACACACTGGTTGTTGCCCACGTTCCAGATGAACTCCTGAATGGGTACCTTCATGGTGTAGTCGCCAAACTTGAAGTCGATGGTGCCTGTGACGCTGCAAGGTACCACATACATGTTGACGGATGAGTCAAGGTTGCCTCCCAAATCAGATCCGAGTGAGTCGACGATGGCTGATGGAAGATAGCTCAGGGTGGCGCCAGTGTCGAAGAAGACGGGGAATTGGGAGTTGGAGTAAGTCTTGGAGCTGCTTCCCGACTTGCTCAGGCCCACAGAATCAAGCTGAACCCAGTACCTAAGAGATTTAATCAGTCATTGCCGTTAAAGTCAGAAGGGTAATTACTCACCTCCACAGGTTCTCGTTGTTCTGAGGCCCAAGGATGGGCGCCGAGTGCAGGGTTCCGCTGAACTTCTTCGTATCGACACCGCCGAAGGAAATGAGACCGCTACCCGTCTTCTCGTCCTTGGTTCCGAGCGCAATACCAATGGTGAGAGACTCAACGATGTTCTGGGCCTTCATCTCGTCAAGCACGGTCGGGTACCCGGTGTTGTTGGTCGCCTCGCCGAAGCTCAGGCCGAGGATACCTCTGTTAAGGTCAACGCTGTCAGTGGCATAGCCAAAGATTGTGTCTCGGAGTGCGATGTCTGTAAGTTGCAATTAGTGGGGTTGGTCCGGCGTCAGAGCGAGGGAGCACTTACCGCTGCCGGGAAGCGTGATGTTATCGCTGACATATTGCAGGACAACCTCTCCCTTTCCATACTTAATGCGGCCCGTCTGGCGATAAACAGACGAAGTCGAAGAGTCTTGAGGGTCGTACTGGCCGTTGGCTCTGCAAGATTGTGTCTGTGCGCTGCTGCCAGCGTTGGCGCAGTTGGGGTTGACCCAGAGTTCGGAGGAACCAGTGTCAATGGCAACCTTTGTGTCTTGGCCGGGCGTACCAATGTTCACTGAGAACAATTAGTAAATATGATTGGATTCCAAGCGCCTAGGAGAATACTCACGCTCAATCAGATAGGTAGTCGTGGTCACGTTGAGAACTGGAGCGTCTGTATCCGAGACCTGTCTTCTGCGCAGCTTGTCCAGAGGGTGCAGTCTGACGTCTTGGTAGACAGGCAAAGAAATGGCACCGACACCACCAGAAGACTGTGTATCGTCGCGACGAGCCGATAGAGCGGATGCGCTTGCCGCGAGGGCGGCAAGAGGCAGGTTACGAGCAACCATTGCGATATTCGGGTCCTATTCGGTTTTAGGGGTTCCGGATCGATGTCGTCGGGGTGGTGTACGTCTAGCGATGTGACGTTGTGAACGTTCGTTGTCTAAGAAATGCCGGCGAGAGTTTGTAGATGCAGATTCGCAAATGCAGGATTCCAAGCCACGAGAACCGAATTCGATAGAGATGCCAAAAACACGAAATGCTGGTGACTGGGGAGACGACGACAGCGACTGGGGGGAGGCCAACGAAAAAGAAGTGGGATGGCAATGCTTTTAAGGACTGAGGGTGCTGCCTTGGCAGATTGGTTGCCCAGACTCGTAGCGTGGACTGGGAAAGGAGAGGCCAAGGAAGGCGTGGAGGAGTACGCGAGCTGTGTTTGTCTAGGCGCCTGCATCACCGAGAGACCGCCCCCAGGGACGAAGGCACAGCTGGAAGGCAATCGACCGGGGGGCAGTAGTGACTGCAGGTGCGTTGGTGACCTCACTGAATTTGGCAAGGAAGGCGCGGGAGGGTGGCACTGCACTGCACTGTGTGGGCGTAGTGCCGTCATTGCTGACCAAGTAAGGTACTTTTTGGTGGTGGGGCCTGCGAAAGAGTACCTTTAACTCCGTCGAAAGCTGGTGCAGGAAGGAGCTCTCTTGAGGCTGAGCTCAGCCGAACTCTGCTGAGACCGCCAACCGACTCAGCAGGCATTGCCATGCTTACACACCAGGCAACTGCCAGCCACACAATGATCTCATTCGTTGGTTCCTGGAGAACTGCGGGGACCTGCTTTCAATACAATTTCCAATTGGCCTAAACATCCAGATGATGGGTTGAAGCAGCAAGCCCAGTCCCTGAATATCGCTCCTTCTCACCTTCCCAGGATTGGAAATCCCAAGGGTTTGGCAACAATTAACTGTTGACCACAAAATGGGAAGGGAAAGAAAGCGACCGCCTTTTTCGGGCAGCGCCTGCATCATCCCCCGCGAAAGCAATGACCGACGACCGGGATGTCGCCAGCATTTTGTGCGCTCTATTGAGGCAGGTTCGTCCTCTCTATTCTGAATGCACCGGCACCTCACATAATTAAGGTATGACCTACTCGCCTTCACTTCACCACTTGCTCTCGAATTACTGACCATGACAGATATCTAATTCTTACCGCAAGACACCAGCAAAGGATCCAGGCGCCACTTCCCACCAGAAACTGGCGCCAGCAAGCAGCCCAGACGTGGCAACGGAAGCAACGGCCGTGCACAGCCCCCTCCAGGAAGGCGCCGGCTTTCGGCACGACCACATCGAAGCTCCCGGTGGATGGATGACTGACATCCAATGCACAGCACAAACCTTGGCCCATACCCGTCGCTGTCTTGTCGCTCTGCCTGCGCTGCCGGCATGCTCAGCGTGTCAGGGCAGTACTGGCCCTCGTCAAAGAGTTGCTCTTGCGAACCATCGATTGGTGTTTGGCTTCTCTCAGCTGTCACCACTACGGCGCTCTCTTCGAGACACGTGTGGCTGGTCCACCATCAGCACGCCCAGCCTCTTCTTGACTGGACGTCGTGGCGGGAGGATTACGACGACATCCGTACACCCTCTCTTCACCAACGATCGCCCTCGACCCTCTTTATTCGAAAACTTGAGTGAACCATCTTTCAACGATTTTTCGAGGCCAAAGCCAAGAATGGTCGCTGTCGCGCGCATCAGGCTAACACCAAGGTTCTTTCTTATTAGGTACCTTAATGCACACAGGCCCTTCAGGGGCCCGTCCGCGCCGTCACCTCATCTCTCTCCCCGCGGTCCCTCGCCAACATATCCGGACGAATATCTATGTATTCGTAGAATCGAAAGGTTCCCTTGGCATCTCTTTTCTCGAAACTGCACAAGGGCCATGGCAGCTATGCGGCCACGCCGCTATCCGTCTCGGCCGATTTTTCCAGTCTCTAGTCTGCCATAGGCACATGCACAATCGTCTTTGACACCAACATTATTCGATGCTCGGCTGCTATTCATCAGTCTTGGCTGTCATGGCGTCGAAGCAAACGGCCTCTGTTGGCTTGCAGTGGCACACCTCCTGACTACAAGGAGCTGCAGCCTCTGTCGGGATTTAACCGGGCAATAAAGGAATGAGGCGATCGACGTCGATACAAGAACTTGAAGCCAGCCTGCCGTCGTGACTCGGGCAAGCCCCCATCCGCCCCTCAAGCCACCGCGCTGTTTCTCGCTAGCGTAGGCGGTTTCCGCCGGTAAGCCAGTCGATGACGCTCAAAACCCAGAGGAAAACCGGACGAGGCCACAGGCTCTGCCCACGCTATTGTTACCACGATGCCGTGCACAGGTCTTGGCACCCGATTTTGATTGTGGTTCCAATAGTCCTGCCCTTCCTTCACCGTGGCACCTCGTGACTCTCAGTCTCAGACTCTCAGTGTACCCAGAGCCTGATCGTTGAAGCTGCAGGGGCGCAGATCTCCCTTGGAACGGAACCCGCAGTGGAGAAACGAAAGATTCCGATTTTCCCAGCCCCAGCATGGCTCGCCTAGCTCGCAAAATTGATTCGGCACCACAAAGCCAAAGCGGACATCGCTCGACCCAGGGGGTTTTCGGGCCTTCGGCTTCCCCATCTTCACGAAATCATGCTTCTTTCACTCGCGCGGACCCGTTCCGACCCTACGACAGAATTTGGCACTGTACGCTTAAACGGGAGTCTCGGGCACCAGGCCCCAGTCAGTCTCTTCGCACTAGCTCTCAGCCCTGAGGCAGAACTACCAAATACGAACGAGTTGGCGGATAGCTTTCCAGATCCTTCGAGGTTGTGGTTACATTCTTTTGCTAGCTGAAATCTAGTGAGACCGCCAGGCAGACTACAACAGCCTCATCCGCTCTCCTCCCGCACCTTAATGCACTTTCCAAGCTTCTTTGCGGTGACTCCGCGCCCTTCTGTTGCTCGTGTCCGCCGTTGAACAAATTTGCTAGCTGGTTGCACAACCAAGGCCAATCTGTTAACACCTGGGTAGATTGTCACTGTCTTTCCTACGGCTGGCATGGCCCCTTGAAATGATTCACTCAAGTACGGGTAGACCTCAAAGTCTATCCAAGATCTACAACCAGACCAACCCCTGCACTCCTGGCTGACGGATATGTTGTTTAACCTTAATATGACAATGTCATACCGCGCGCAGCCTTCTACTGTCATCCAATTTGGTTTCGGGTCCTTTTTGTGTAACCAAATTCGCCTTCTCGGATACCTCGACTTGGCATTTGTTTTCTCCCGCTCTCAGCCGCACCAGTCTTAGGGCAGGATAACCGTCTCGCAATTGTAACTCTCTGTCCCAAAGCCCTCCCAGCTTCATATCCTCCAACCCTACGCAGATAATTGCGCTATGAGATCCGTCTACCACGTCGTTGTGGTGAAAGTTCGATGACGGGAAATGCAACGGCTAAAGCATTTCTCGAAGACGGTTGGAACTGACGTCAAAGCCCGTTGTAACCCCAGTTAATTGCAAATACGCCCCTCGGCTCATCTCAACGGCTGGAGCCTGGTTGTCTCGCAAGAGCACCCGACCTGGCTAGCTTCTCACGGTGGAATGCTCAGCTGCCACTGGTTAGCCTGCCACAGAATTGCTGCGCCGAAGCCACCAATGTGGAGATATTTATGCCGCGGCCCTGTGAGACCTTATGGCTGACAGGATACGCCTTATCATTTATGGCTTCCAAGGTGTGTTGCAACAGCCTTGATGGACGATGTTCAAGGGGGGCGGGGTTTATTCTCTCGATCGTTTCCTCTCTTCCTCGCTAGCTCCTCTTTCTCTCTTCAAACAGGATTTTTTTTAATCGAGCAAAATGGCGATCGTGAGTCAGGGGAGCTTTCAAGGACGGGCGTCCTACTCACGCATGTTGAAATAATGATCTTGGAGTACCGTGCTCATCTCTAGATCGCAGCAAAAGACAAGTTCGCAACTTTTTGTCCAGTAGGCTATGTTGCAGTACCCTTCGCAAATGGCGATGTTCACTCAACCGGTAGCGATGTTTCCATATCGACACGCTATTATAGAACCTGAACCGACATTCTGCGTGTTGATGTAACGCCGTCTACTCGGCCAACTTCATTCTAGGATAGACGCCTAGACGGTCCTACTCGTCGCCAAAGGATGTAAAACCCAACGATGTAGGTATCCACGACAGCTCCATGCTGCCCGAGTTTCTCCCCGCAAAATGTAATGACCATATCCTGCAAGGCGGCAAGGCCATGTCCTCCTCAAGCACTTTCAGCCGCGAACGAACGCCAAACCCAAGACGTGCAACTGATGCTTCAACTGCGCAGATACTTCGCCTTTCTTAATAGCCAGCTTTCATCTTTCATCATAAACACATAAGGTTGGCATTGTATCAAAACGAGTTGACGACGCGATATCATGACCAGGCTTGTATCTGCTCACACCTTGACCACGCAGTTACTGACCTACGTCGCCGCTTAGATTTCCTCGTTCGCCACGAAGAACAGGTGTTTAAGTCTATGTTGTACCAGGATACATCCTCTTCGCTTCATCATGTGGCAGTAGCATGTTTTCACGTGTGAAGTTAAGATGGCCCTTCTTCAGGTTGTTGTAGGAATCATCAGATGTCACAACCAATTGCTTGAGACTCTGTGTCGAATTCACTTGTGATGCTGTAGAAGTCTATGTTCATTTTGAGTTACTGAAAGCGGCCTTTCTTATAGTACGTCCCGGCAGCTCTGCGGCCGGGGTTGCAGAATTTGGACAAGGCGGATGAGAAAACAATTTTACTAGTAGCTAAGGGGAAATAGTTACGATGCTATCTGTTGTTTTCAAGGCATTGATGATGCCTTGCAGGCTTTTCGTTTATTGTCTATTCGCTCTCAAGATGGGTTGCTCCCTTTTGCCGCGCTGCTTCCTTGCAATATTTTCTCTGTCAAGATCTTCCTTTTTGGACCTGGGTCTCTTCATAACATACTCTTTCTCCACGCAGGATTTAGAATTCCAAGGCTGTTCTCTTTCGTTACCTTCGGTTCAAAGGACCCTTCATGGCCCCTTTGAGCTACTTCTGCACCATCTTCAAAACAAGTAATCCCTATTATACTTGCCTTTAAGAATATTTGCCGCTAGGTAAACTAGGGATGTCACGCGACAGCTCATTTCGGGTCCCCAGAACCATACTCAGTAGCTACCAAGGTGGCACGGCAGAGAATCAGGTGCATCTTGTCTGCTGCTCTAGCTCTAGTCTCAAAGGCAATCAATCGCAAATCTAGCAGACTGTTTCAACAAAAGGGTCAAGATCAACGCGTGGCAATGGTATAAGAGCGGTCAGCGCAAGATGATCCATCTGCACGTACTATTTCGTCCGAGGTACAAGACCAACTTCATGTACTGAATTGACATCATTGATTTACTGCCAAAGTGCGC